TTATTTTTTTCTTATGGTATTAAAAAAATATCGTTCGTAACACTTTAGTAAATATTTATCCGTATATTAACTGAGTATATATTAAAGACTAGAAGATGACCCGGTGAACTTCATATTATCTATAATTTATTTGAATTTCACTTTGATCAATTATAACAAATCTTCAAAATGCAATATAATGAGATCATTAATACTGCCTGCTGTTATAGCTGATAAAAGATTCCACACCTATGAGATGTGCCACGCCCCTTTTTACAAACTCATTTATATACATATATCTTTCCATAAGCACCTACCATAGGTATCTGTGCATTTCAAATTTCGAGTTCATGTGACTATAATTCCGAAGTTAGAGCTGATTAAAAATTTTCACTATGGGAGGTACCCCTCATCCCCCTCCCCCCCTTGGCGAGTTTCAATTTTTTTACCCTATTATAGGTCCAGGAGTCATGACAATACTTTGGCAAAATTTTATTCGATTCTGTACATCCGTTCAGGCTGCAACCTGGTACATACATACATACATACTTCCACAAATATATAGTAGATTTGCTTTGAAGCGCCATCTTGCGCAGGCTCGAAATTGATTCTGGAGCTATGGTCTAAAGGGCTTTTTTTCTTAGAATTTTATGTAGAATCCGAATCTGCTAGGAACGATGTCGAAAAAAAAATTGACCCGCCCTAATATATATATATATATATTTATATGAGAATTGAAGTCGGTTTTGTTTTTTGCTTAAAATTACTTGTTCATATTGAGTTACATAAGGTATCTGTCATAATCAAGGTGCCCGGAATGTTAAAAAAAGCTCCATTTCTGAAAAAAATCGCCAAAAATCGCCTTTTTTTAAATTAAATTAATGACGTCGACTTAACAAATCATTTATTTTAAAAATGAGATCTTGTTATAATATAGTTGAAAAAAACGAATATAATACCCTCAGGGTAACACGAATCACTTATATAATAGTGATGTACAAACAATTTTCTTTAAAAATATGCATACTTTTTAAAAATATTTGTATCAACACATTTTCCAATAGGACTGCGTAATTATTAAATTTATTATAACTCATATTAATTGACTAGCAGAGGTAACGATCAAAGTTCTAAAATAAAATTAGTTTACCACGGTACATTTCGTTTTGCTGCCTCTCCGATTAGCTGTTTTAGTATAGCTGCACTTTTCTGGTAGAATGCTTAATTCGGAAGGAGTTTTATTCAATATGAATGAAAATTTTTCGTTTAACAGCATCGCGGGATTAAGGAACGATTTAATCTTTCCATTTCAAAGTAATCTAAAGACGGTAAGGTTTCAAAACAAAAAAACACACAGTTTTAAATATCCGAGTTATCTAATAGATGAATACATATATGTAAATCCCCCTTTTACAAACTCATTTATATATATTTTACTCTGAACACCTCCCATAGATACCTATGGCTGATTAAAAATTCCACGCCCCCTTTTATAAACTCATTATTCATAAGCACCTTACTATAAGCACCTACCATTGATATGTCTGCACACCAAATTTCAAGTTAAGTGGGCTTATGGTTCCGAAGTTATAGCTGATAAAATTTTCCACGCCTATGGGATGTGCCACGCCCCCTTTTGCAAACTCGTTTATATATACCCTCGTATAAGCAGCTATCATTGATATGTCTGCACACCAAATTTCAAGTTAAGTGGGCTTATGGTTCCGAAGTTATAGCTGATGAAATATTCCACGCCTGTGGAATGTGCCACGCCTCCTTTTACAAACTTGTTTATATATACCCTCCTATAAGCATCTACCATTGATATGTCCGCATACCAAATTTCAAGTTCGTGTCACTTGTGGTTCCGAAGTTATAACCCACGCCTATGGGATGGGCCACGCCCCCTTTTACAAACTCGCTTAAGCGTACCCTTCTATAAGCACCTACCAGTGATATGTCTGCATACCAAATTTCAAGTTCGTGTGACTTATGGTTCCGAAGTTATGGCTGATAAAAAATTCCACGCCTATGGGATGTCCCACGCCGCCTTTTACAAACTCATTTATATATGACATACTATAAGCGCCTACAATAGACATGCCTGCATACCAAATTTCAAGTTCTTGGGACTTATGGTTCCGAAGTTATAGCTGATAACAAATTCCACGCCTATGGGATGTGCCACGCCCCCTTTTACAAACTCATTTATATATGCCATACTATAAGCGCCTATTATAGACATGCCTGCATACCAAATTTGAAGTTCGTACGACTTATGGTTCTGAAGTTATAGTTGATAAAAAATTCAACGCCTATGGGATGTGCCACGCCTCCTTTTACAAACTCATTTATATATACCCTCCTATAAGCACCTACCATTGATATGTCTGCACACCAAATTTCAAGTTCGTATGACTTAAGGTTCCGAAGTTATAGCTGATAAAAAATTCCACGCCTATGGCATGTGCCACGCCCCCTTTTACAAACTCGTTTATATATTCCCTTCTATAATCACCATGCCACGCCCCCTTTTACAAACTCATTTATATATGCCATACTATAAGCGCCTACCATAGACATGCCTGCATACCAAATTTCAAGTTCTTGGGACTTATGGTTCCGAAGGTACAGCTGATAAAAAATTCCACGCCTATGGGCCTATTATAAGCACCTATCATAGATAAGTCTTGGTACCAATTTTCAATTTCAAGTGACATATTTTTCCGAAGTTATAGCTGATAAAAAATTCCACGCCTATGGGATGCGCCACGCCCCCTTCTATAAACTCATTTATATATACCCTCTTATAAGTACCTACCATTTATGTCTGTATACCAAATTTCAAGGTCATGCGACTTATGGTTCCGAAGTTATGGCTGATTAAAAATTTCACGCCTATGGGAGGTGCCACGCACCCTTGTAGGATACCAATTTTTTCACCCTAATGTAGGCCCAGGAGTCATGGCAATACTCTGTCAAAATTTTGTTCCATTCTGTCCGTCCGTTTAGGCTGCAACGTGGCACATACATACATACTTTCACAAATATATAGTAGATTAACCGCACAATCCGCTTTTACGCGCTCGGCGCTAAAAATAAAATAAAAACCTATAATAAGGCGAGATCAGTTATTTCCACAATTTCTTCAAAATCACCTATACAGGCCTATTCTGCGTTGGTAACAAAAATTTTCTTACCGGTTAGTAAAGTTACTGTCAATTTTTAAACCCTTTTCGTATGCTCCACACTCTTGTAACCGGTTAATTTTGTTACCATCTCATGAGCAGGTAACAAAATATTGCCCCGTGAAATATGCAACACCAGAATTTACACAAAACTCCATAGCTGAATTGCTGAACAAATTAAAACGTTACCAAGGTAAATAGAATTGCGGTTACAAGAAGTGGTGACAATTGTTGGTAACAAAATTAGCTTGTTACAAAATGTTCGGTTACAAGCAGAATAGGCCTGATAGTGTCTGAATCATTTACATTTGTGTTGTCATATATTGAGTTTTGATAACTTGATAACATACTGTTTGATAATGGAAACGTTTTGCAGCAGAAACTATTAGCCTTCATATAACATTTTATTCGAACTATTGATTTAAGGCTTTCCAACCTCATTCTATTTCGAATCTTAGTTTTTGTTGAATTCATTATGGAAAAACGCGCTCAACAAAAGCATTTGAGTGCGGCAAGGATAATAATATCAAGGCTACTTTACTTATATTTCCAAAGTTTTAAAAGTTTTGAATTGACTAGGTAATCGTTTCAAAAGTTCTTCGATTAGAGTGATTAAAAATTTTTAACAGTCATATTAAAATGCTTGTTAAGCCAAGTTTATCAAGCCAAGTTTAGCCTCTTCTGTAAAATTATCGTGGAAAACTAAGTTGTGTATATTTTTATAGTTGGAAAAAATTTATTTGATTGGGAAAAATCGCCAAAAATCGCCAATGGCGATTTCCTAAATTTTTACGCGCAAATATCCAAAAAAAATAGCCAAATTGGCGCTAAATCTCCAAATCTGGAAACTCTGGTCATAAAACACATTTTATTAACCGACTTCCAAAAAAGGAGGAGGTTATCTGTTCGTCGGAATATTTTTTTTTTTATGTATGTTACCGCATAACTTTGGACCACGTCAACCGATTTCGATAATTCTTTTTGCATCGGAAAGGTAGTGTCTCAGAGGTTTTTTTTGCTAAAAATTACTTGTTTTTAATTTTTGGTACTTCGTTTAATCAAAGATTGTGGCATTTTGCATTTATGGCGACGTTATGTTATTGTACTTACAAACATACATATGTCGATATTTTACCTGCATTAAAAATTCGTTTAAAAACTTTTAAATTTAACATATTTACTTTCAGGACGTGGCAGTTGGACCGAAGATATTGGATTCGATTTGAACACCGACTTTAATAGCAATTCTTATCTGAGCAAGTAAGAAAACGTTTGAAAAAGAAGTAGAATAACATCCATAAGTAACTTACTAAGGCTGTGCATGAAAATGGCATATATATGTACATTACAAACTTATCATATAGCCTAAATTGAACAACATTAAAGTAGAATAACATCCATAAGTAACTTACTAAGGCTGTGCATGAGAATGGCATATATACATATGTGCATTTCAAACTTATCATATAGCCTAATTTGAACAACATTAAAGCGTTGTGGAAGGAATCGCCGAATTTTGGCGCAAAATAAATTATCTATATACATATGTATATACAATATTTATTTATCATTAAACTTGTACTTGAAAATGCCTCCTTAAAATAGATAGTAAATGTCCGATATTAGCTTCATGTAATGTTGGGCACTTAAGATGGAATAACAATTTATAGCAGAACTCGCACATAGCCTAAATAGTGCACGTACTTCCAAATACGAGAACTCTATACTAATTTAATAATGGCCCGATCTCATCTACAGTGAATCCTTTTTGTCATTCTCTCCGGCCCTGACGGTACTGAAACAGGAGCCTCAAAGTGATCAGTTGAAGGTCTCCAATAAAAGTCCATTAAATACTCATCCTGCCGTTGGTGGCAGTGGAGGAAGTGTACCAAAACTAGATAAGGCAGCATCGCACGTGGATACGGCAGCGACCACTGAAGACACTTCCAAAAATGCCTTGAACAATTCTCTCTGTGGATGTGGTTCGCCGAAGTCCGGCGTACCACAAGAAATTGAACACAATGGCAATAACGCCGACAAGTCCAACAGTAGTGGAGCCAATGGATTTGGTAATACCGGTTCACCCTACGGTGGCGGAGAAAAGATTACTGGTAAGATATACATTTCACAATCAGATATTCATGAACATAATTTTCTTTCATTTATTATTTATACGAAAACCTAATTAGTACAGGGAAATTCAGGTTCACAGCAGTTGACTGTGGTCGATGGAAGCAAAGTTGAGAACAGTACTGGAGGTGGTGGGGTTAATGGCAATAATGCCAATGCACACTCCGATGATCACAAGTGAGCCTTACAATACATAATACAACACTAATGACTAGAATAATTGGAACTTTCTACCTGCATTTATAGATTTCAGTACATTTTGGCAGCTGCTACGTCTATAGCTACCAAGAATAATGAAGAAACCCTTACCTATCTAAATCAGGGACAAAGCTATGAAATTAAGCTGAAGAAGATTGGTGATTTGTCATTCTATCGCGATAAAATACTTAAGGTTGGTGTTATACATACATTACGAAGCACTCTAGACTGATATATATGTAGGTGCATTCTTTTGCAACCGAGCTACAAAAGAACACTCGCTTAAATGACGAAATACATGCAAAGCAACAACACAAACTCGGCTACATATTTATCCGAGTTCAGCCAGGTCGTTTAAAAAATATGCGACCTGAAGAGTGTGTTTTTAAGTGAAAAAAACTGCTCTATTGAATTTTTAATGGGAAAGTGGAGAGGGAAAATTTTGATTCCTTATATATATGACTTCCATTTTAAATAAGTATATATATTACGAAAATACCTCGCAAAGTTAGGTACTCATTTCCATTGTTTTTTTGCATCTAAATCCCGTTAAACTAATCACATGTTTCTTGCCAGATACCGACATTGTGTCTTAAGTAGCTAAACAGAAATTTTACCCGAGTTGAGCGTTCTTTTGTCGCTCGCTTACAAAAACAAATCTCCTTATGTACATATAAACATATACATATGTACTTTCATATATGTACATTGCCCGAATTATTAATTTTACTCCAAGTTCGAATTCATTGCATAAAATATATGTTTTCGAACACACTATACAGACGCTTCTACAAAGTTTTAAAGTAACGACTTTGGCATGTACTTTCTTTTCAAATTTACCATTTCTACTTACATACATATTTTATATAAGTATACACACACACAATACACATAGGTACTCACTATATTGGAATTTATTCATCTAAATTGATTTTAATGTGCTTCAATTAAAACAAATTGCGACAAACGTACACGGGCAATTTCAATTTCACACACACTTACATGAGTCTATGTGCCCAGTGGGAAAAGTAGTAATACATTACATGCGTAATTGTGGTATTCTCAAAGGTGTCGTAAATGTCGTATTGTTGTATGTCGCAAACTTTAAACGCCAAAAAAATATATTACGGGGGTTCGCAAAGTACCATCAAAGTAATATGAATTTTCGCAGTGTTAAAAAATGTTGGTTGTGGTTTCAGGTTCTCTAAACATTTATTTTAGCTTTTAAACTTTACGACATACAACAATAGACACTTACGACACCATTGTGAATCCCCCAAATGTAATGTATTTCTTATTAGTTCTAGATTCTATTACTGTTTATTATGTAATCAGTAGGGCCCGGATTTGTATGCACTAAATCAAAAATATGCACAAAAAACAAACTAAATATGCAAAAGGATTTCTCGCATTTGTTTTCCATTTTTAATTTATTTACTTACTTTTCATATTTTATTAAAAGTTTATAATTAACACAAGGATATATTGTAATATATTGTAAATATTTATTTTAATTTGCTTTGTTCAGGGCTTTATTGGCAAACAAGATAAATAGTTCTTTAAAATTTTCAAAGTTATAGCTTTCTCTATTTGGGCGAAAACATTTTTTGTATAAGAAGAACTTTCTTTCTACGTCAACACTGGTGATTTCGGCGTACTTGAAGCAAGCTAGTTCATTGGAATTATAGCTACTACAGATGTCACTTGGCTACTTGAACTTATTACACCAGATATTCTCTAAGTTCATTAAACCCCTTATTATTTAGAATGGTATCAAATTTTTCCTAGACTATTTGCCCAAGTTCACCCTGCACACCTTGATTTGTTGTAACAGCAGTCTCCACAAGATGCACTTGTTCAGCCAATGATTTTTTTCATTCAAATTTAGTTATTATTTCAGACAAGAAACTGTAGTTTCCAGGTGAACCCCAGGGGTCCACGGTGACGTGAAAAAAATGTGGGGGTCCATGAGTTGTAAATGGGGGTCCACGAAGATTTATCTGGTTTAGATGTAACCAAACCAAAATGGTTGCTTGATAGCCTCCTTATTTACTACTACGTGGTGGAACATAGGTGGAGGGGAAGGAGTTTGCGTGACTGCAGTGACAACCAAGCTACACTTAAGGCATTGACCAGCCCTCTATTTAAGTACTTCCAAACTAGTTCGGCAGTGCAAGTCTCGACTAAAAAATGATGGTGAACATAACGAGGTTGTTTTACTCTGGGTGCCAGGTCACCGGGGAGTACCAGGTTATGAGACATCTGATCATTTGGCCAGAGTTGGCTCAGACCAGGCATTCCTCGGTCCGCAACCAGTTTTAGCACTCCCAACTTCGGCAATCGAAGCCACCATCAGAAACTGGGTGAATACTTTGCTCAGAAATGACTGAGAGGCATCGATGCAGGTGGGCAAAACTCATGTCTCACAAGGTCTATCTAATTTTTTTCTCTCACTGAGCAGACGACACTGCAGACAACTTGCTGGACTGCTGACTGGTCACTTCACGTAGCACAAAGACCTGACTGTGATAGGCGTAAATGACAAGTCCATTTGCCCATCTTGCCTTGAAGAAGATGAGACGGTGAAACACTTTTTGTGCTTCTTGCTTGCTTGGTTATTTGTCATCGATTTTTTTAAACTCGTTCTTTTCTGTACTGTCAGTTTCTGAATTAAAAGTTTGGCGTAAAAAGCTTAGCCATTTTGATGTTTTAAGTTTTGTGTTTTAAAAATGTGATAAATATTTTTCGCCTCACTTTAAAAGTCGGAGCGATAAAAATAAAAATGATGCCATTAACACAAATAAACTATTTTACATTACATTTGATGAGTTTATGCTAAAGATAATGAAAATAACGCTAGCGCTCGCTGTGCTCTTAAAAATATAACTCTTCCGAGCGAGAGAGTATTTTGATGTATTTACGAGCTCCATTTTTTAAAACCTACAAGTGTATATACCTACAAGAATATGTTTTACTTTTATTTTGCCCACTCTGAGTTTAGTTTTAAATTCACCAGCGATGCAAATTTACGTTGTTAGATCTAATTTTCACATTTACTTATTTTACGAGCTTTGGGAATATTTAGAAATGTATCAGCAGGGGGTCCACCGAAAGCAGTAAATTTTTGAAAGGGGTCTACGAGAAAAAAAGTTTGGGAACCTCTGATATAGGCTAACCGTGCTTCAATCGAATTTGAAACTATTGCTTTTTTGACTTCAATATTGAAGAAGCGTCACTATCATTTAGGTCTTTAAGAAAGGTTTAAAATTCCTTAAAATGTAGGCAATAATATTTTTCCGTCTCTAACCAGGTTCCCTATCTCGTTAATATTTAATGTACGTAAAACGTAAGCGACATATTTTTCAATAATTTTCTTTTTGATACAGTAATGCTCCTAGAGCATCCAGATGAAATTCTGCATCAAAGAGGAAATTTTGGAAAAAAAAATCGATTACGTTTTTTGGCGGTTAGGGCTCGATATCTGGAGCTGCGTTAGTGGCATATAAAAGAATTTTCGACTTTTCGAAATCATTACCCAATAGTTGCATGGAATCATAAAATGTTCTCAAAATTCTGGAGTGATTCGTCCGTTCTAGACAAACGACGTTTAATAAAAAATGCAATTAAATGTGATTTTTTGACAAAATATGCTTATAGTACATTTATGCATTTAAGACAAAATATGTAAAAATATGCGATGTCATCACACAAAACTCTTGATTCGCAACATTTGTTAATCTTTAAGTTCCTATGACTTACCAAAAGAACATGTAAATGCATAGAAATCCGGGCATCAGCATTCTAATAATCTAACAAGTCCCAAAAAAATGTATTCTTAGGAATCACCGTGGGGAAAAATGCATTTTGGAATGTGAAAACGGCAGTTTTTTTCGATCACCATACATTGGATTTTCCTACAGGGTATGTAGGTACTATGTACATATGTATATGTAATCGTGCATCACTAAAAAGTTGTAGAATAGGCAACTGTTATTTATTGTTCGTATACCTTGTAGAGTAGCTTGGTTGTGTAATTTGCTGAAATTCGCATATACATAAGTTCATACATGCATACATAAGTTTCATGTGCGAATATTGAGAGATGGAACGATGAGCGGCGTTGTGTTTTGATGACAACTATCTAACTGTACTTAAAGACCGGAGATGAATCTAGAAGTCTAGATTTTAGGCAGATCTGGGGGGCGTATAACACAATTGTCAGCAATTGACGCAATCGCATGCTTACAAGTACATACATACATACATATACTATGTATGAATGTGTATATGTTAGACCGTATCACCATATTTGGAGCAGAAATGAGGATTAAATGACCTAATCCACTTACTATGAAAGAATTTCGGAAATGCAAAATCTGAGCATTCTCATAATGCGCAAAATAGACCACACAAATATTTATAGCCACCCAGCACAGTCGCAAAGATTTTCCAAATTTGTTTACATTTGCAGCGAAGTATCTCTGCGAACCACCTTCCTCAGTGAACTCAAATATAGGGTTCGAACGATACTATCGATATTGAGTAAGTATCGATACTGAGGGTATAAAAATGAGTATTTTAATACTCGATACCTTATTTGGTGATTATACTCGATACTTTGCAAAGTATTCGTAGTATCGAATACTGTTTATAAAACACACTTTTTAAATTTTTTCTTCCATTGCTTTTTTTTGCTTATATGGATTACTATCATTCAATTTTGTCCATCACTTAAAATAAACTGAAATTGCGTGTAGTCTGTTGCATAACATAAACCAAATAAGTTAAAGTTTAATGGCCTTATATATATATATATAAAAAATAAAGTAGGTTTAACGAGCTTAATAAAATGACAGTTTCATACATTTTTCAGTTTATAAACCTTTTTTATTTTTCATGAACAAGGCCATAAAACTTTACGCAAAGTTCACGAAAATGCAGAATTTTTAGCAACTTTTTGGGTATGCAGTTTTGTAACCTATTCAAATTTACGAGTAGCCTACTACCGTTGACTTTTAATTCAAACTTGCACATTATTATACTAAAATTGAGTGAAAGTAAGTTCTGCTATAAAATAGAAATCAAATATTTTAGATTTCGAATGTTTTAATTTCAGGAAATAACTAGATATACGATTGAAGAATAAAATAATTTTAGTATCCCAAAAAACGTATTTTAATGAGTCCGATACTG